CTGTAGTTCTCTTTTTGAGTTGGGTCTTTCCCTGGTTTTGGAATCAAAGTAACACTTGCTTCCAGGAATGAATTTGGAAGCCTGGCTTCCCTTTCAATTTCCTTGATGAGTTTAAAGTGTAATGGTGATAGTTCTTTAAATGTCCTGTAGAATTCAGCAGTGCAGCCATCAGGACCTGGGCTTTTCTTTGTTGGTAAATTTTTTATTACATTTTCAATTTCACTCATTGTAATTGGGGTGTTTAGAATTTCTATATCTTCTTCTATAACTTTGGCAATTCGTATGCATCTAGGAATCTGTCCATTTCTTCTGTGTTTTCCATTTTATTAGAGTACACGTTCTCGAAGTAGGTATTGATGAGCCTCTGGATTTCTGCTGGGTCTGTTGTGATTTCTCCTTTTTCGTGGAACTCTGCTTTAAGGGTACTGGAAACCTAGAGGTCTGGAATTGTAAATGTTTGCTCCCTTTAGAATTGTGGGACCCCCCTGGCTGGCACTTAACACCTTCATTGAAAACTTGCCAGCTGTATTCTCCATGGAGGCCATGAGGCCATGCCACGCTCAGCGAGTCTCCTGTCCACTTCCACTTGTGGCAGTGACTACAGAACCAAGGCAGAAAAATTGGCAAAAGGAGATGGTGCATGGGGTGCAAACTCTGAGAGCCTCCCCCTTCCTCCGTCTCAGGGTTCCTACTGGGGCGTCACCCAGGCTGCTCTGTCCAGCACACATCGAGCCCCAGCAGACACTCAGCGTCAGTGGCCCCAGGCCTCCCCGCGTGTGTGCAGCTGCAGCCTGACCATCAGAATGGCGGTGGGGTCGAGGGCGGCCCGTGTCTTGCCACCTACAAGCCGGAGACCAGAGAGCCGGTGGTGTGGCTGAAGGCCTGTGAGTTCAAAAGCTGCTCTCTTCTGGAAACGTCCTCACAGACGCCGAGGAGCTCTGCTGCTGACTGCCCGGCATCCTGCAGTGTCCTGAACATGAGAACATGAGCCGTAGGGTTCACGCACTGCTGGGCACAGGGAACCACACTTATTTAAGAAACACTTTACACACAAAAACCAACACCAGCCTGTGAGGAACCATGTGTGCTCACAGTCCGGGACCCCGAGGCTGGCCTGGTCAGTGGGGCTCAGAGCAGGAGCCGGGGTCAGGGGGCTGTGTGGCCACTGCATCAGAGCTGGGAAACCTTGGCTGCCCTCCCTGGCCCCATGACTCCGCCCACCTCCCAGCCCAGCTCAGAACCCCCTGCTGCTGCCCCCCATGAGAGCTGAGGGTCTCTCCTGCTGCGCGGCTCCCATGGGTGGACAAGACCGCCGTGCCCACCCATGGCTGCCTCTGCTGTGCCCACCGCCCTTCTCTGACGGAACCTGCCTCCACCTCCCTCGCTGGGGCCCGGCCACTGCCTCCTTCATGGCCCTGCGGGGCCCAGGCCTGAAAAGAGCCAGCGCTTCCCTTAAGCCTCCTCTGGCTGCCAGACTGCGAGCTCCCAGCAGGGCCCGGGGATGCGCCTGCATGGTCTGGAAGATGCTGTGGTGACAGCCGGGAACCTCGTCTGGAGCGTGCACGAGCACTGGGCTCCTGTCTTTGCCTTCGTTCTCCTGTGTTTTCAGCAGAGTCTGCCACTGGCTCTGGTGGGGGCTCCGGGCCCTGACCAGCCCAGGTTTTGTGCCCTCCTGAGCTGTCATGTGTCAGTGCTGACCGGGATGTACTCGTGCACACAATCCCTGTGCGTGCACCCTTCAGGTGGGGTAATACCCAGCCCTGAGGAAGCAGCACTGGTATTAAATGAAAAAAAATGGGAAGGTAAAATCACGTTTCTTGTACATGTGTGAAAAGGACATGTGTGGCGCTTTCGTGACTCACGGCTGGGTGAACGTGGACAGGCTGCAGGCCGCCCAGAGTAGCCCGAGTCATGCTCAGATGCTGGGCACACTGACAGCAGAGCCGGAGCTGGCTTGGGATGGTGGGCATGCGTCCTGTCACCGATGAACCTGGAGCTACAGCCCTGTGCTGCCGGCTGCCCGGGAGGGCCTGCTTCCCACTGCTGCCCAGTTCTCCCTGGCAGTGCCAAGGCAGAGGCGCAGGCACCCATGCTAAGCTGCTGGCTCTGCACAGCGTCGCCCCCTACAGTGTCCTCCAGAAATGGGTCCCTGGGGTCCCCGTGGGGCCCCAGTGTCTGCACAAGGCCTGGCACGCAGGTTGTGAGCTCCACCACCTCAACCACCTTCCTCGGAGTCAGGCTGCATCTCTGAATCAACCAGCCACAGCCTGAGTGGCACAGATCCACCCGGAACCTCCCGACCTTGCCATCTGCCCGGGCTGAGGAGCAGAGCCCGCAGGACTCTCACACGGACAGTGCCGGTGGGCACTGGCTGGGCGAGGGCGGTCCTGGCAACCGCAGGCTTCGCGTGGCCTCCTTCCACACCCTGGTTTCCCTTCAGCGCCACCCTGGGGCTCTGCGTGGCCACCGCTCGGCAGCTGGAACCTGAATGTCCCAGCTTCCTGCCCGATAAACGCCGCAGGAAGCCGACGGACTGGAGCAGGGCGCTGACCCTGGCTGGCAGCGGGAGTGGAAATCTGCTAAAGAAAACAACACTTTCTACATGAGCTGGGCAATTATAATGGGACCTCTGAGTGGGGGAAAAAAAGCATTCTTTCCTCCCAGATCCCTCAGCTGTGCCCTGCACCTCCGGGGCAGCCACAGACTCCTGATTGCCCCCCTGCCCAGCTCACATGTGTACAGGTCCTGAGGCAAGGACAGGGCTGGGGTCAAACCCAGGCCCTTAACGCTGAGCTGCATCCCCGCCCCGTTTTTCCTTTTTATTTTGAAACAGGATCTAAGTTTCCAAGTTGTCCAAGCTGGGTTGGAACTTGGCGTCTTCCTGCCTCGGCCTCCCAGAGTGCTGGGATGACAGGTGTGGCCTCCACACTAGGCTGGGGTGTTGCTGGGACTCAGGCCCAAGGCCTTGCAATGCTGAGCACAGGCTGTGACCTGGAACCTCGCTGCCAGCTCAGGTGACGCAGAGGCCGCTTCACAGTGGTCTCAGTTCGGAGGCGGGGTGCAGCCCAGGTGCTCAGTGCCCCTGCCCTGAGCTCAGCAGGGTCCATCCTGGCGCTTCTGCTTCATGGTTCTGTTTTCCACTTCCGTTTCTCCACTTGGACTTTAGAAGCAACTTGTCTGGCTCCAGAGAGCCCAGGAAACTGGCCTCCACCTGGGGGTTCTTCGACAGAGCAGCCACCGGTGAACATGAAGGGAGAGCCTCCGTGTCCGGCCGGGCAGCTGCTTCCTGATTCTGCCCTGGGCAGAGCTACTCCTGGGGCCACGGAGGGTGGCGTGGCTTGGTGGCCACTCCAGGATAGGCCGCCATTCCTCCCGGAGGACTTGTGTGCTCCCTCGGGCAGTGCAGGGCTGAGGGCTGCGTCCTCCACGACCCCTCCTGCCCTGACGTCCCTCTGGTCCGTTTCTCAGGTTCCTCGATGGGTGGCCAGGTCAGCACGGGACTGCTATTCCGTTGGTCAGGCGCAGTGAATGTTTAAATTTAAAAAATGTTATTGCAGTAAAGGACACACTGTTAATGCCCCTCACCTGGAACACACTTGCCACATTGTGCTCGCCACTTTCTTTTTTTTTTGGTACCGGGGATTGAACTCGGGTCCTTGCACTTGCACAGCAGGTGGCGGAACCACTGAGCTAAATCCCCAGCAGCACTCGTCCCTTTCTGAAGCAGTTTTGGAGTCCTTTTTTCTGAGGGGTGGGACGGGGTCTCACTATTCTGGTCTCCAGCTGGCAGTAGTCCTCCCGCCTCAGCCTCTTGAGTGCTGGGATCACAGGCGTGCGCCACCACACCCAGCTCTGGAAGTCCTCCTTCATGTCTTCAGTTGTGCTCTGCTGGCTGCCTTGGTGTCCTGAATTGATTCAAAATGTTGACCCTTCCTGGTCATTTTGACTTCGGAGAAGGGCCAGAAGTGCCATGGATGCCTCAGAAGGTGGATGAGGATACAGCGCCATGTTTTTTTGAGCTGCCCTTCCGCTGGATGGTGCTCGGCAACAGCAGTCCCCACGTGTTTTACCACACCTCGTAAAGCACTCAGGAAAGAGGACTCCAGAGCTGCTTCAGAAAGTGGCAAGACAGGGCCAGGGATGCAGCTCCGTGGTGCCTCACCTGCCTGGCAAGCGCAAGGTCCTGAGTTCAATTTCCAGTACCAGAAAAAAAAGAAGAAAGTGGCGAGAATGATGAGATCGGTGTGTTCAAGGCGAGGGGGAATATTTTGACCGGGCTTCATAGCAGGGTTATCTTTTACAGTGATAAGCTTTGTTGAACATTCACTTAATTTGATCACCCCTTGTAATTCTCAGTGGTTGTGGGAAACATCAGCCCTGTGCTGTGAGGTCTCTTGAAGAGTTTTGTTTCCATAAAACTCTCTGACTGACTCTCTGGTGAACTTCCGGGTCAGCGGCCTCCACAGGGTTGCCTGTCTGGGTGAGGGTGGAGGGAGCTGCTGGGAGCCAGGCACCCCTGGGACACGGGGCGAGGGCCATACCGGGTTCAGAGCCTTCTCTGCAGGCCCAGAGAGCAGCTGCCCTTGTGCCTCCCTGTGCTCCCTGCGCTGATTCAGCTCCCTGGATCGACAGTGCCAGGGCGGGGAGGGGTTTGCGTCACTGAGAGACAACTCAGGCTTGCGGAGGGCGTGTGCGGCCTCATGCACACTGTCACCTGTCTGCGGGCCGTGAGCCTCCGAGGCTTGGCTCTCCGGGCCCCTGGGATGCCACTGACCAGTGCAGGGCTCCGTCTGCCGCCTGCACCACACGAGCCACCCAGGCGGCCCCTGAAAAGTAGCTGGGCACAGGCGCCGTGCACTGCAGGCCGTCCAGGGCGAGGCCGGCCGTGCTCACAGTGACTCTAGCCCGACCCCTCTCCCGCACAGGCTGTTCCTGGTCATCGAGTACGTCAACGGCGGGGACCTCATGTTCCACATGCAGAGGCAGAGGAAACTTCCAGAGGAGCATGCCAGGTGGGCACCGGGGCGCAGGTGTGAGCCCCCAGTGCGGGCCCCAAGTGAGCTGAAGGGGAGGCGGCAGCCTGGGTGATAAATGGAGAGAGGCCCTGCCTTTCCTCGGTGTGACCAGGCCACAAGGGGCCCTGGAGTCGCAGTGTCGCAGGGACAGCCCCGCGGCCCGCACTGAAGGCCTCACACACCAGGGCAGAGACGCCTTCTGCTGGTCGCTCTTCACAGGATGGCACCACTGGGGTTTGTGGCTTTTCCTGTTTCAGCCGGGGCAGGGCAGTCCCAGCAACAAACTCCCGGCGGCTAAGCACACAGTGTCTGCCTGGCACCCAGAGGCAGCAGCCGCCGCTCCTCAGCGACTTGGGGACACTGCCCCTTGCTGCGCTGGCTTCTGCTTCGCCATCCCCGGAGTGTGGCCAACCCGCCCTTGCCATTCTCCTTCCCCCTAGAGCCTGTGCAGTTCTGAGTCACCTGGACGCTGTTCAGGGAGGGTGGGCAAAGCCAAGAACAGCGCTCGGCCTACTCGTTGCTTTTTTTAAACCCGGAGAAGCACAGAGCACAAAGGCACCATGCTAAGCAGCGCTGACTGCAAAGCGTGGTGGCACTGAGTGTGTCGTCTTGCTGGCAGCCATCGCTACCACCCAGCCACAGAAGCACCTCTTCTCTCACCGAGACCTGCTGGGTGCCCTGGTGCACACCTGTGATCGCAGATGCTCACGAGGCTGAGGCAAGAGGACCACAAGGCTGGGCCTAACCAGGGCAAACTTAGTGAGACCTTGCCTCAAAAAATAAAGGGGCTGGATGTAGCTGAGTTATAGAACATCCCTGGGTCCAGTCTCCAGCATTAACCCTGCCTCCACCCCCGAAAGTCCAGACTGAGCTGAAGCCAGGCATGGTGGTGTATACATGTAACCCTAGCACTCGGGTGGCTGAGACAGAACTGCCGTGAGTTCAAGGCCAGCCAGAACTACATAGCAAGACCCTATCTCAGAAGAACAATAACAGTAAAAACCAAACTGAGACTGTCCCCGCCGTGCCCTGCCTCCCCTCTGCTGACTCTGGACCCTGAGTCCCCAGGGGCTCCCGTGGGTGTGGCAGACAGGGTTTGTCTTTTTGTATCTGGTTTATTTTCGCATGTGTTTGTTGGCATTTCTTCCCTGAAAGCCTGAGCAGCAGCCCACAGCATGGATGGCTGCATGTTCTTCCTGCGCACGGACACCAGGGTTGCTTCTGGGTTTTTGTTTGGGAACGAAGCTGCCACAAACACCATGTGCGGGCACCGACGGGAGGCCCTGCTGTCCCTCCCTGGGGCGCAGGCTCAGGAGGGGTCACAGGCCCCATGTGGCCCTGCCGTGACCCCCAGAGGCTCCCACTTGCGGTCGCCGCAGCGGCTGCCCTGGTTCTCGTCCCCCCAGCACAGGGCCAACAGCCTCGCCTCCTGCACCATGGTTATTTTCTGGCCTTTTTATGGTAGCCATGCTCATAGGTAGGAAGGGCACCTCGTGTACTGAGGGTCTGCAGCTCCCTGAGGACAGCCTGTGCCGTGCACCTGTGCCATCTGCTTGGCCCCAGGTCGAGACTCGGCCCGAGGCGAGGGTGGTAGTGCGGGCGTGGCCGGGATTTGCACCCTGGTACAGGCCGCCATGGCTCCCCTCTGCTGACCCGGCTGCCCGGACCCCAGGTTCTACGCTGCTGAGATCTGCATTGCCCTCAACTTCCTGCATGAGAGAGGCATCATCTACCGGGACCTGAAGCTGGACAATGTGCTGCTGGACGCCGATGGGCACATCAAGCTGACGGACTACGGCATGTGCAAGGTTGGGTGCGGCGCCTGCCTGCCCCGCCCGGCCCCCTCCGCCCGGCCCCCTCACCCTGGTACCTGTCCCCACAGGAGGGCCTGGGCCCTGGCGACACGACGAGCACTTTCTGTGGAACTCCGAATTACATCGCCCCGGAAATCCTGCGGGGAGAGGAGTACGGTGAGTCCTCGGCACCCAGGAGCGGCGTGGACAGGGCCGCCCCGCCCTGGTGACGCTGTCCAGGGCCACCACCCTCAGGGCCCAAAGCCAGGCCAGTGGAGAGGCCTCTCTGAACACACTGCACCCTAGTGAGCGTCCACAGCCCCGGCCGTGTCCAGCCAACGTCACCAGCCCCCATCCGAGCTCATGCAGACCCCCTTGGGCCCCCCAGAGGCCCTGAGGTGGGGCACAAAGCAGGCAGACAGGGCCCACTCAGTGCCCTGAGCTGGTGGACACTGCCCGTGCAGCTGCGGGTGACAGCATCACTTTAGGCGACACAAGGGCCTCCACTGGGAACCAGCGCCCTGTCCACCATGTAGCCCACCCTCTTTGGTGGGAGCCCAGAGCAGGGCGCTGTGGCCTGCATGTGGCTCCGTGTGCGTGTCTGTGTGCTGTGCAGTAGGCGTGTGCACCTCGTGTGCCCAGGGAAGCGCGTTGTGAATGCGCCTGCATGAGTTTCCACACATTTTCCTTGCCATAAAACAGGTTGGGGGCAGGCGGGTGAGACAGGCACCTCCCTGCCCCGGAGGTGACTGGGCTTCCAGAAGCTGTGTGGGCATCCAGACAAGTCAGGGCAGCAGCTCAATGCCAGGAGAGTCCCCACTTGCTGTGAGGGGCCAGGGATTTAGCTCAGTGGTTTCGCTGCCTGCTGTGCAAGTGCAAGGACCAGAGTTCGATCCCTGATACCAAAAAAGAGAAACTGGTTGCAGGAGGCTTTGGCTGCCTGAGAGGAGGCCCTTTGCTGAGTGCAGCAGAGTGAGAAAGAGCAGCAGCTAGGTTTGCACGTTGAGGTTGGGATGCCACCGAAGGGCAGGTGACAACAGGGACCCCACACCGTGTGGGCTGCACACAGACACTGCATGTGCTGGGACGCTGCTGCCCGAAGCCGGGCAGGGCTGGCTGTCGGCCGGCCTGACAGCGCCTGCTGCCCCAGGGTTCAGCGTGGACTGGTGGGCATTGGGCGTCCTCATGTTCGAGATGATGGCTGGGCGCTCCCCCTTCGACATCATCACCGACAACCCTGACATGAACACGGAGGACTACTTGTTCCAAGGTGGGTGGCTGCAGGTGCGCCAGCCCCTTCCTGGGGTGCCCTGCCCCCCATGGCTCATGGTCCTGCAAGGGGGATGGATGTGTCACTGTGGTGACCCCAGTTCAGGCCCTGAGGGTCATCCAGGAAGCACACTGGCCGCCTGCCCCGCCCAGCCAGGCACACCCAGGACTCTAATGCCTCAGGCTCTGGGCAGGGCCAGGCCACTGGACACCTGCCCTGTTCAGACACAGTGGGTGTCAGTGGAGCCCGGCCTGGTGGCAGGCACCTGCAATCCCAGCTCTCTGGAGGCCGAGGCAGGACCATCACAAGTTGGAGCCCAGCCTGGGCAACTTAGTTTAGTGAGACTGCAAAAGTAAAAGAAGGTTGTGGGTCTGCAAGGCGGGACAGAGACCCCTGGGTCCAGCAATCTTCAGTGCCAAAACCAGGCCTGGGTGTGTGGGTTGGGGACCAGGCTGTCCTTCCACGCCCTCGGGTGACCAGCGCGCAGGGCCTCCCCGAGGGGCAAGGCAAGTGGGAGCTGTGGTTGTCTCCCTCCGCCCCTGCAGTGATCCTGGAGAAGCCCATCCGCATCCCCCGCTTCCTGTCCGTCAAAGCCTCCCACGTCTTGAAAGGATTTCTGAACAAGGTACGCGCGTCATGGTGACTGGGCCCCTGCACAGGACGGCTGCTGCCGAGCTCAGTTTGTGCAAGGGTTTGGATTCCCTGCCTGGTGTCGAGCTCCATACGTCTGCCATCAGCATTTATTCATATGTAACAAAGTGAAACGGAATTGTGTTCTCAAGAAACGGAAGGAAGGAACTGGGGCTTTGGGACGAGGGCTCCAGGCTGAGCCATTGGCTCTGGGCAGAGACAGCTCAGAGATGGGAGGGTGCTGCCTGTGAAGTGGCCAAACCAGTTTTCTAGGGGCTGAGTCTCCTTTGCATCTGACCCCCAGGACCCCAAAGAGAGGCTCGGCTGCCGGCCCCAGACTGGATTTTCCGACATCAAGTCCCACGCCTTCTTCCGCAGCATAGACTGGGACCTGGTAAGGCGGGGGTGGGGGAGGCACACAGGAGCCTGGTCCAGCCCGGGGACGGTCCTGGTCATGACAGGGCACAGGGTGCGGCGTTCAAGTCTGACCCGGGTCTGCTCCTAGTGTTAGAGCAAACCTGAATCTAGCTCATTTCAGGTCTAGGAAGGTTGCAATTATTGGAGTACAGCCTGTAAAATGTGCTCTTCTGAGAGAACAAAGAATTGACAGCTCATTGAGCAAATCCTGGCCCCACACCCCGTGAGCACCCAGGTCAGCAGGCACCATCCACGTGGCCCTCAGCCGACTTCGCTCGGGGGCCTCTGTCCACACCTGCGGACCCGGGCGGTGGGGAAGGGGCAGCCAGGCCTCCAGCCCTGCTGCTGCAGAGATTGGCCGTGGTACTGTGAAACCCGAGCCCAATGTCCTCTTCTTGGGGTGCTGACACCCAGATACTTAGACACGACACTTGGGGATCTTCGGCTCGATCGCCTCGCTCTGGCTTCGGAGGGCCTCCCGTGGCCCAGGCCTACCTGGCTGTGGTAGCGGTGGCGACCGAGCCTATGACCTCAGCCCTCTCCGGCCTCAGAGTTGGTGGAGCCCAGGTTGCCCCTCCCGGCCACCCTCTCCCCTCCTCCAGCTGCCACACTTGGGGTCCACCACAGAGCACAAGGGGCCGGACCCCCAGGCCCTGGGCCCCTCCCACCAGTGGGTGGACGTGATGGTGGTTCTGTGGAGGCTCACGCTCCTTAGGGCCTGGGCCCAAAGCAGGGCTGGGAGCAGAGCCGGGCGGCCGGCTCACTAGCATCTCCACTGCCAGCTGCGAGACCCATGCCTCGCGCAGGCTCTGCCGCCTCCCACACCACCCTGCTGGTCTGGGTGGCTCCAGAGCTGGTGCCGGGCAGCGGGGCCTTCAAGGCCCACTTGTGCCTCGGTTGGTGTCAGGGCCTTGTTGTGCTGTCACGTGACAGGACCCAGCTGCGGGGCACCTGCTGAGTGGACATCTCCATTCCCCAGGGCCCAGGCTTGAGGTGAATCGCAGTCCAGGGGACTCTGAGCATGAGGGGCTGCCCAGGAAGGACACAGCTGTGGGGCTGTCCCCAGGGGCCATGTGCGTGCACTGCGGTAGCCAAGGAAGAAGGTGGAGAGTGGGCAGCAAGGGGCCCAGGGCACAGAGCAGGGAGGGGGACCCATCCCCGAGCTGACGTCAGTGTGCCCTGTGCAGTGTGGCCCCGGCTTCCCTCGAGGGTGAACGCTCAGGTGCACTCTCTCCTCAGCACCTCTGGTCTCCAGGGCCCCATGAGGGCTGGGCTCCTAGGGACAGCAGTGTCGGTGACCCAGCCGGGGGACTCGGTGTGGATGCTAGCAGCAGAGGTGGCCATGGGGGCAGTGCAGGCTGGCCCAGTGCAGGGTGCCGAGGGGACTCAGGGAGCCGGTTCCCCTCCAGGCCTCTGCTCTGAGGGGGCTCCCGTGGGGACACAGGTGACCCAAAGGAAACAAGTCCCATGGCCCTGAGCATGCACAGTGCAGCCTCACCTGCTGTGTCCCCTGCCACTGTGACCACAGCATCGTGGATGGCGCTGCAGGGCAGCACCCGCTGCCCTGTCTCTGTCCTTGTGGCCCAGGTCGGGCTGAGCAGACAGCACTATGAGGGTCAGGGGCCCAGCAGGCAGAGAGAGACAACAGGCCCTGGAGCGAGGCACGGCCCGGGCTCTGGGCACCTGGAGGGAGACCAAGGCCAGCACTCCCTTTGCAGAGCAGCAGCAGCAGCAGCAGCACCCAGCCCTGGCTCCTGAGGCTCTGCCCCAACTCTTTCTAAGCCAGTCTTTTAAAGTAGCCCAAGATGAAGGGAGGGAAAATGAGATGCCCCCTTTTCTCCCTTTCTATCAGAAACCATACTGGTAAACAAAACGGGTCACTCATGAAGGGAGAGACAGTATCCTGTGTCCCGCAGCCCTGTGCAGGCCCAGGCTGTGCTGCTGAGGGTGGCCTGCTGAGGGAGCTGCCTGCCCGACCCGTGTCCCGCATGCACTCCTGGGGTCTGGCCTTCTCTGTGGTGTCCCAGGTCCCTGTGCCGCCCCCGTCAGCAGGACATGTGTGTGTGTGTGCGCGCGTGCATGGTGTGGACAGGTTCCTAGAGTGTCTGGGTTTCTCCCAACGTGGCCTTCGCCACAGCCATCCTGACCTTCTGCTCTCGATGAGCAGGGTGGGGAGCTATGTGGGTGGCCCGAGTGGCCCAGGGTCCCTGGGCGTGGCCCGTGTGCAAGGGAGCTGAGCTGCACACCGTCCCTCTCCAAGTGCAAGCCCAGCCCACGCAGGAGCGCGAGTGGGTGAGAGAATGCCTGCGAGAGAGTCAGTCAGCTCCTCCTGCCACAACAGAAGGCTGGGCCCGGGTGATTCAGAACAGAAATGTGCCAGACAAGGCGGCCCACACCTGTAATCCCAGCACTCCAGGAGGCTGAGGCAGGAGGATCACTGTGAGTTTGAGGCCAGCCTGGGTTACATAGCAAGACCTTGTCTCAAAAGAAAGGAGGCCCAGGGACTTAGCTCAGTGGTTCTGCCACCTGCCTCTCGCAAGCACAAGGTCCGGAGTTCGACCCCCAGTACCAAGAAAAAAGAGGAGAGGAGAGGAAAGGGTTGTTGTGGCCACTGGGGGAGCACAGCCCTGGGCTCCACCGCGCCTCCTGATGCTGCCATGAGGGCAGAGGCCCAACCTGGTGGGGCCCTGGGCGTCCTGCTCGTGCGCCACATGCACCTGTGCCAGGCCCTCCTCCTCCCTGCCTGCAGCAGCCTGCCGGTCCCCAAGGCCCGGTGTCCTCACGGGCCTGCTGCAGTGGTGGGAGGGGCCCCTGCAGCACCTCAGGGTCCAGCTCCAAGGTGCTAAGAAGAGAAGGCCCACCACAGCCTTGCCACTAGGCCCTGCAGCAGTGGCCCTGGGGACGCAGGCCCTGGCACCCGGTCCTGTCCTGCAGCTCACGCACACGTCCTCCGGCGTGGCGTGGCGTGGCGTGGCGTGGCGTGGCGTGGCTCCCGACTGCCTCAGCTGGAGGCTGCTTCTCATGGGTGCAGAGAGCCGCGTCGGCCCGGCCCTCAGCTCGCCGCTGTCTTGGTTTCCCCAGCTGGAGAAGAAGCAAGCCCTGCCGCCCTTCCAGCCGCAGATCTCCGACGACTACGGCCTGGAGAACTTCGACACGCAGTTCACCAGCGAGCCCGTGCAGCTGACCCCGGATGACGAGTGAGTCTGGGCCCGGGGCGGGACCCGTCTCGGCTGAGGAGTGGGGGCCCTGACCAGAGCTCTCTTCCTCCCTTGGGCTGGGGGTCACCTCCAGCTCGTGCATGGGCCACCACTGTCCCCTCTGCGCTTCCAGGGACGTCATAAAGAGGATCGACCAGTCAGAGTTTGAAGGCTTCGAGTACATCAACCCACTTTTGCTGTCCACTGAGGAGTCCGTGTGAGGTCGTGTGCGTCTGTCGTGGACACACCCATGAATGGCCCTGTAACTTTATCCTTAACCACAGCATATGCATGCCAGGCCGGGCACGAGGCTCCGAGCAGCCAGGGAGGGACAGAGCGGCCTCTCACGCCTGTGCCCACAGAGCCCGGCTCTGCTGGAGTGGCTTCTTGTGCCCGCCCCGCCGGGGCCGTCCGTGGTGGCCCTGCCCCTGGGGGAGACTGTCGCGCCATCTCCGAGGTGCGCGTTCCGGCAGAAGCAGAACTTGGTGCGCTGACCGCTCCTCCAGGGAAGCGAGCGTGTAATGTCCTGAGGAATAAAATGTACCGATGGTGTCGCAGCTTCCCTCTGATGCCTTTTTTCTGAGTGGCACCTGCCCGAGTCCCAGTGCAGCAGCCATACAGAGGAGCTGTGCTCGCGCAGGCAGGATGGAGGCGGAGGGGGACGGGAGTCTAAGTGCCTACAAGTGGGGCTGTGCCGCAGAGGGGTTCTACCAACCGGAACATTTTCTAATCCCGGTAAGTTCCCGTCGATCATGCTTAGCACGCGTTTCCACACAGAGCTCTCGCGCTGCCGCAGCCGGGCCGGGCCGGCCCAACACAGGGCACTCCGAGGACTGTGGATCCTGAACATGTCACCAAAGCATCGTAGACCAAAAAACAAAAAAGCAACAAAGAGGAAAAATAAAATCAAGAACTAATTGTGCACAAGTGTATTTCTGAGAACACGAACCAGTGCCTCCAGGATGTCTTGTGTTCTGTATTAGATTTTTGGAAAATATTTTTATCAGTAATACAATTCTCAGAATTAGAAAATTTAAAAAGATATGTGTGTGACAGACCCTAGCCTTAAAGTTGGCGCTACGCCCAGAACACCCATAGCCATGTGCCCCGGGGAGCTACAGCACCCTCTGTCCCAGAAGGGTGGCTCTCCCAATGGGCCTGCACTCGGCTGGAGCCCTGCAGAGGGGTCAGCTTAGGACAGGAGGCCGCGCGCAGCCCTCGACGAGACTCAGGTTTGTCGGGCCCCCGTGCGGCCGGCGCTACACGGGTGCTGGGTTGAGGCGGCTGCTGCTGGACTCCCTGGGCTGCCGGGGTGCTGACACAGGTTTCAGGGCGCCCCACCCTGGCTCGGGTGTCCTGCTACCTTCTGATCGCAGACACATCTCAACCAGCACCCCACGGCAGCCTGTAAGACGGGCTGAAAAGGCTGAGGTCAGGGGACCGCAGAGACCCCCGGGATTGGCCCACGCCATCTGGTCTGCTGCTGCGGCCCTGGGCTCCTCAGTCAGAGGCGTTTAAATACTGCTGTGTTGGCAAACAGCTTGTGGCTGCCAGCGGGGCTGCCCCTGTACAATGTGTGAAGATCATCGTGCCCATCAGAAGGGGAGATTTTTATATACAGTAAATTGTTTTATAAATTAAAAGGGAAGATGTATTGAAGTGTGCGTGGGAAAAGCCCTAACCTTTGCGATGGCTCTGGCATGACCGTGTGCCCGTGGACGTGCTTTGTGACACTGGTGACCCCGATTGTAAAGCGGTGCCCACGGCCGTCTCTGGCCGTGAGCGGAGCCCGTGGCCAGCCGGTTTTCCCACTGTGGACGATGTTCTCACCCTCCACTGAGGTCGCTCCTACTCTTGCACATCTATTAAAGACTTTAACGAAAACGCACAGGTTGTTAGTATTTTTGTTGAAAGCAGGTGTTTCAGGGAAGCAGAGGGTTTGGAAGCCTTTTCGGAGACTTCATTTTTAGGGCAGACTTAGGCTCCCACGTAGTCCCCACCAGAGGTGTGTCCACAGCCTCAGACGCACGGCTCGCACTGCAGCAGGGCTCTGAGAGGTGGCGCAGCCGTGCCTTCTCACTGCCCCAGGAACGTGTGCTCCCAGCCGTCTTCCTACTGTGCCCAGCTTGGCCTCTTTCAGGGGGTCTTGGAGTTGGGGTCACACGGTATGTGGCTGCGATGGTTAACTTCCGGTGTCAGTTTGGACTGGACGATTCCAGGAAACCAGGGAGAGCGAGACTTCAGTTATCTGTGGAGGGCTCAGGGTCGGAGGTGGGTGGGAGCCCCCTCAGTGTGGACCCCCCAGAACATGGGGCCCAGAGGACACGAGAGGAGCGCCTTCCCAGCTCCTGGCCGGGGCCTGGGGTGTGGGCCAAGCCCCTCTGAGGCACCGGGAGCTGCGGCCCCCATCTGTCTCTGCTGCATCCTCCTAGTTCCGCCCAAGATCCTAATGGTGACCCTGGCCCACGGCGCCATCACTTGGGGACCTGCACAGAGAGTTCCTTGCTGACTCCTGCTCTGTGCGTGCATCGCAGGTGAGCACCGGACCCTGGCAGTGCGTTCTCTGTAAGGACAGTGCGGTTCCCGGCCTGAGCCTCCGCACCACGCTGGCCCCTCCTGGGCCGGCCTGCGCCGATGCTAGAGCTGGGGCTGAGCCACAGGAAGAAAAGGACCACAAGTCGCTCTATTTTCCACTCACCTGTCAGCATGAACAGAGATTGCTGACAAGGTACAGCCCGTGTCCCTCCCCTGAGATCCCCCATCTGGGGAGAAGCCACAGCTGGCCATGGTGGTGCCCAGCACTCAGGGAGGCTGAGGCAGAAAGCTCCAAGTTCAAGTCCAGCCTGGGCAACTTAGTGACTTATCAAGACCCTGTCTCAAAGTAGACCTTAAAAAGGAATGGGACGCGGTTCAGTGCAACGGCCCTGGGTTCCATCCCCAGTACTGCCCGAGCCGCACATCAGGCCGCCTGGGCAGCCCTGTGCGCCAACGGCCAGCGTGGGTGGTGAGGCCCTGATCTGCCTGAAGGAGCTCCAGCTTCTGGGGGAGGGCCCTGTTTTCATCGTGGTGATCACACCTACGTCAGGAAATAAAAACGGACGTCCTGGTCTCACTGGTGAGAACCCAATTTTAATGTGCAGGCTGAGGGTGGGGGGACACCAGGCCCCCGTGCTACCACTCCACATCTTCCGTGCTCTCAGCCAGGCACTGTGCAAGGTGGCCGTCCACGTCCAGCTGTGTCAGCCTGCAGGGAAGAGGCGTCGCTCAGCCTCCTGCCCCCCTGGGACCCGCTCCACAGTGGCCAGGGATGGCACACTGGGGTCACCCTGCTGTGGGGAGCATGCACCAGGCCAGAGGCCTCGGTCCACCAGGCCCCACCCCAGCTGCATGCAGAGCCCAGGGCACTGTCAGGAGCCATGCAGAAGGCCAGGCTTCAGGCTGAGACTGCTGGCTGCGATGGAGGCCTGCTCGGTGGGGCGGGCACTGGCCCATCGGTGTGACCACGTGGACTGGTTGACTTCTTCAAGAAGGCCAAAGCCAGGCGTAGTGATGCACACACACCTATGTGATCCCAGCACTCAGGGAGGCTGAGGCAGGAGGATGGAAAGTTCAAGCCAGCCCGGGCAACTTAGTGACTTAGTGAGACTATCTCAAAATAAAAGAGCTGGCGATGGATGTAGCTCAGTACAAAGGCATGGGGTCAACTCTCAGTAACCCCATCCCCAACAAATGGACTGAGCAAGGGTCAGGACCCACGAACTGGACAGCTGGGCTCAATTTCTCAGTCAAACTGGGTTATATCTCCTTACTAAAAAAAAAAGACTTCATCCCAAAACCCACAGGGAAGGAATGGAGGTCTCGTGGGCCATTTCGGTGGGAGGTGGCAGAGACCTCAGCCTGGCTTGGCTCTGGAGGCCAGGACGGGCTGGGGACAGGCGGGAGACGTGACACACCCCTAGCTGCCTGGAATGTTGGGGGAACTCGGGGGAGGGTCCTGCTCAGCCACAGAGAGTGGAGAGCAGGAGATCTGGGGATGCCAGCCTATGACAGCAGGACTACCAGGCTGGCCAATGGCTCGAGCCCACTCTGTGTGTGCAGCATGGCCTCAGGAAGCTGGCACTGAGCCAGGCACAGTGAGCGTTAGACGTGGGGCTGGGGGCTGGGTGAGCACTCACTCAGCCGTGAACTCCTTCTGGCACATGGGGCAGCTCTGCAGGGCCAAGGCCCCCTCCTTGGTCAGCTGCTCCTGGGGCCTGGGGGTCCCACAGGGATCAGGTACATGCTGTCCTTCCAGGGATGGGGTGGGGGACCCCAGGGGACCCGCAGGACCTCTCACTGGCCTCTCAGCATGGCCTTGGCCCCCATGGGCTGGCGGAAAAGGTGTCCAGGTAAAGGCCTTGGTCCCCACGGTGAAGACCTCAGGGGATTCGAGGTTCTCCGGCCCTGCTTCCTGCAGAAGAGGAGCTCGTGAGGCCAGGCCCAGGGGCCCTGCCTGAACACCCCTGGCCACCCTGCCCTCCCGCAGACACACCTGGCTGGGAAAGGTGGGCAGCGGGGACAGCGGCAGGCCGTCCAGGACTGGATCTGAGAGCACAGCACGCAGCAGTGCAGCCCACAGCTTGCTCTCGCCACTGCTGGGGGGACACTGGGGGCTGCCGCTGGGGACCATGGGCGACACGAGAGGGTCACTGGGCCCTTCTGCAGCGGGAGGCCTGGGGCTGGGGGCCAACAGTTGGATCAGAGGATGGGGACCCATAAGGGGAGTCAGGGGGCTGTGGGGCCCATAGAAAACCTTGGGAAGGATTTAGGGGGTCTACGGGGTCGTCAGAGGGGTTGGGGTGCACAGTGGGAGGCCGGGGGTGGGCGTCCGCAGTGGGGGAGGTGAGCAGGGGGAAAGACACGGTGGAGGCTCGGGCGCAGAGGGACCCGCGCCCTCCGCCTCTCCCCAGGGGCCCCCTCCCAGGCCCCCAATGTTCCGCACCCCCCCCCGCGCCACGCCCCTCACCCGCCCCCGGAGGGCGCCCTCCGGCGGCTCAGCTTCCCGCGCGGCCTCCAAGCCGCCTCCTCCATCCGGTGCAGGCGGAAGTGCGACGCAGGCCCGGCCCCAAACCTGACCCCACCCCAGAACCGGGCCCCGCCCCCGCGCCAGGGCCGGGACGACCCCATCCCACCACGAGCTGCTGCGCCCTGACCCTAGCCTGGGGCGCTGGCGAGCTCCCCCCACCCCCGCTGGTGACTGCTTTCCCCGAGGACGCCCGGGACGGGAGGGCAGGGGTCTGCCGCGAGCGCCCTCTCAGTGGACACGTGGCCCTGCCTCAGTTTCCCGTCCTGGAGACCCTCGCGGGTGGATCCACAAAAGCCGCCCGGATCCCGAGGCCGCCTTCACCGCTCCCATCTCTTTCATGACGGAGGAACTCGGGCTCCCACTTTAAGGAAGGAGTGTGTGGCCGAGGTCCCGGCCAGGTCCGTGCCGGCAGGGCTCTGCTGACCCCGCTTCCCAGCACTCCCGCGGGCCGCCACTGGGTGGTGGTAGACGCCCAGGGACCCTGGCACTGCGGGCTGGGTCCCAGACTGCTGCCTTCCCCAAGTCAGATTCGCCCAGGGTGACAGCCACCAAAACCAGGACCTGCAGGGGCTGGGTAGCAGCCCACCCAGCAGCTTGGGCCACCACCAACATCAAGCGGCCGAGCGAGGACATCCTGTGTGGGCTCCCAGGTCCCCGCCCACGGAGGCTCCCAGGAGCCTGTGTTGCTGGGCCCAAGCTTAGGAGCCTTTCCCGGATGTGTCACTGTGCTCCTGCAGAGGGCCTTGGGGACCTCCAGGAGGCCTGGCAGGAGGAGAGACACATATCCAGCAGGAACAAGTGGGGCGCCCACTTGTGCAGGGTACCCACATATGCAGGAGCTGCCTCGTAACTCCCACCCTGGGGTCTTCCACATCTGCCTCCCACCCTGTGCCCCACATTCCCCAACAGTACCTGGCCACTTGGTGCAAAAGGGGCACAGCAGGTCAAGGTAGGGGCTACATGGCCAGAACCTCACTGGCCTGAGGCCCACCCAGCTGCTGTGGGACACTTGTGGACCTGGCGGCCGGTACCTGCAGCTGGAGAGGGACCGGCCTTGGGGCACAGGGGGTGGATCGTCCCTTACCTTTGGCATTAGCCACCAATGGGTCTCCTTCCCCTTGGCCTCAGGCCTGACCAGCTGTCAGCCAGGTCTGGGGCCTGGGGGCCCGAGCACACGGCCACCGTAACTGGGGCAGTGGTCTTCCTGGCATCTCTTGGTCTCCCTGCTGCTGAGGATCAAGGGGGCCATGTGGGGAGCCCTGTGACCTGCAGCCTAGGACACTTCCCTAGAGAATGGGGCTGGAGGGACCCCTGATGGGGTCCAGGCAAGACAATCTCTCCTGCAGTGTCCCTCTGAAGCGAGTATAGCGAAAGCCACTCTCGGGAGGTAGAAGGGGAACATTGGTCACCTCCCTGGAGCCCACCTTGTCCAGCCAACCTGAGTTATCAGCGTGAGAGGACTCAAGTGTTGAACCTGATGGAAAGGCTCCCTCCCCCGAGCCATCTCTACAGGGACAGGGAATTCAGCATTACTGGAAGATCGTTTCTGGTTGGGTCTGACCCTGGCGCTGTGCAAATAGGTTTTTTATGAGGCAGAGTTTGTGCTTATGAAGCGATACTCCAGCCTTGCAGAGGAGGCACCTGGGTGGAGCAGGCCTGACCTGGCTGGAAAGCCGCCCATCTCAGGCTTTGTCCACCGCTTGATCTGGGTTTGGAGGGGAATGCTGCCCCTGGAGCTGCCCCAGAAACAGTTTGCCAGCCAGCAGGTCAGGGGTCTCACCTCCCCACCCTCTCCCGGGGAACAGGTGCCCCAGCAGCTGGCTGGGCTCCTCACTCGCTCTCCAGCGCCAATTCCCCCAGGCCCCAGCTGGGGCCCCTGATTGGCCTCTGCCCAGGCAGGAGCTGGTCAGCCCCTGGGACCCCTGTCCCAGAGCCCTCTGGGGTGTCCTGAGTGCACTTGGCACCCCTACACTCTGCTTGAGTCCCTGGGGTTGGATGCCATTGGTCTGCCCTGCAAATGGGGTCAAGACCAGCCCCGGAAAGCCCATGATGGTGGGCATGCCTGGGTGCATGCATGTGGCACTCGACTGCTCCACCCCTCTCCATGTGGCACAACCACATGGCGTCCACACAGGGTGCCTGGCAGTGCCGCTGGCTGCCTGAGGATGGCCGAGAGACCTGGGCCACCTCTGCCAGAGTGGCTTTCTGATGCAGTTAGGCAGCAGGCAGCCCGTGCCACACCTGTGGGCTGTGTGTGCCAAGCCAGGCTGCATGGAGCAGGCATTGCGGTATTTACAGGGTGCGGGAGTGCCAGGCAGACAGGCTGCACGAGACGTTGCCTGGGAAACGTCTCGGGATCCGTCGGGCGGCAGAGCAGTGTTCAGGCCCACACACTGGGTGCGGGGGTGAGGGCATACCATGGCACCCTCCAGCACTGGGGACCGCCAAGAAGCCTTAGGCTGTGGGCTTTGGCCAGGATTGGCAGGCCAGAGGTCAGCAGGCTCAAGCCACAGCCCCCAAATCCCGAAAGGCAAAGGGCTTTGGGAAGAGGCTGGCCCATTCCCAAGCACCTACCCAGGCAGGCTCCCCAGTAGCGTCCCTGGCCTGGCCGGCTGTCTCTGAGTCCACAGCGGTGTTTCAAGTACTCGGGGACTCAGCAGCTTCACTCTGGCCCTGTTGGCCTGACCCAGGGGCAGGATCCTGAAGCCCTTGACCCTGCTCCGATAGCCCCTCCAGGACACCTCCTAGTTGCATACCTGCTCCCCTCTAGGTCTCCCTGAAGTACAAGTGGGAACTGTGAATGCCACTTACCATGTCCTAGTGTTTTGTGGGGTGCCTGGCACGGCGGAACAACCAAGCAGTCCTGGGCAAGTAGGAGAGGAGAAAGAGCAGGAGCCGTGGGGCTCCCTCCTTTGGGGAAACAAGTCAAGCAGAAACCCAGCTGTGGGGGCATTGTGGCTGGAAGGGGAGCTCTCAGGAGTCCCTGAGAACACGTGGTTTCTAGGCTCCAGTAGAATCAGCTTGGACCCTGATCTGGTGCCTTCTTAGGGGAAATCTGCTGCTGGCTGGGCGGAAGGGGGTATTGGCCTGCCCTGCCCCTCAGGGCCCCTGGCCAGGTGGGGGACAGGTCACATGGCACCTGATGTGGTCACATTGTGCCCCTTATCATGCGGGCAGCATGGCCAAGCACTGAGTCTGTGGCCCTGTCCTCCCTACATTTTGCCTTTGTGTACCGGTTTTTTGTGGTACTTGGCTGGAACCCAGGGCCTTGTGCATGGTAGGCACGACTGCCCCACAGCAGAGCTACACCCAGTCTGCTTTTTTGACTTTCTGAATGGCCCACAGAGCTCTTCTCCCAGCACTCCGTGAACACCTCGGGGTGGCCTGGGCCTCACGACCAGCCCCACAGAGTCAGGGGTACGCGCACTGCCGGGAGCCTCGTCTGCGCTGCCCAGCCTTCCCAGGACCAGCGGGTGGTGGACCTGAGCTACCCTGGCCAAAGACACCCAGCACAGCATGGTCGGGCCGAAACAGGCTCTACGCTGCCCAGCCCTGGCCAGTCTGTCCCGCCGGTCACCTATGCTCGCCGCGGACCCAAGGGGCGCCCTCACTCACCCTCACCCTGACCGGGTCGCTCTCCCGGCCTTTGTCCATCTGCTCCCCTTCCAGCTCTGCCCCACGCCAAGCCCTCTTGGACATTTCCCACGCCCTCCCCTCCCCTCCCCTCCCCTCCCCTCCCCAGTGAGGCCCACGCCACGCCCCTTCCCAAGCCCCGCCCCGCAACCAGGCCCCGCCCCCGCCCCCCAGTCCGCGCCGCGGCTCCCCCTCCATCCTCGTGGGTGCAGGCCTCGTCCCGCCTGCCCTCCCGCAGCGGCTGGCTTGGGCCCGCGCCCCGCAACCTAGCGGCTCGGATTTCCTCAGGTCCTGCGAGCTGAGCCTGGCACGTTCCGCGTGCGGGGTCTTCTCAGGGCCCCTGCCCGGAACAAGCGGAAAGCGCACTTAAGTCAGGCCAGATGTGAGTGGCCGCCTGTGGAGGGCTAAAAGCAAGTAGGTGAAGTTAACGTTAATGACCGTGTGCTGCGGAACGTGGTGCAACATGGAATCAGCCCACACGCGAATCTCGGGCGCGCTCGTGCGCATTCTCTGCCTGGGTCTCGGGAATCCAGCGTATTTCCGAGCAGAGGCAGCTCACTTTGTCCCCCCGACCCCGTTTCAAGTCCCTGTCCGGGGCCTCTCTCCCGGGCGGCTCCCAGGTCTCTGGGGGGGGCCCAGCCTTCTGGGCCTTACCTGGCAGGGGGCTGGGAAGTGGGAGCTCCCTCCTCTCGGCCTGGCTGGAGCGTGGCCATGCCCTCGGGTGGGGAGGGTACCCCGGCGGGCTGGCGGGTGCAGGTGGGAGGCGGTGGCCCTCAGTCCTGCAGTGGGAGGGGCAGAGCCGCCCCCTGGGGAGCTTTCCAGGCCCCCTCTGTGGGCAACAGGGAGGGTGGTTTCCCTGCAGGAACCCGGGGACCCATGGGCACGGGGAGAACCACGTCTGACCTGGCCCTGCTAAGCTGCAGGAGCCCAGAGATTCTGGTCCTGGCTGGGAAGTGGAAACTGAGGCAGTTTAACCGTGGCGAGCAGTAGCAAGTGCCAGGTACTCAGGAGCCGGGGAGTTCAGATCCTAGACATGAAGGGACATGACTGGGGGGACACTGAGGTTCCAGGGGCGCAGAGTGGGGCTCCGGGCTGAAGACACTGCCCCACGCCATGGCTCCTGGGCCCAGGTTCCTGCTAGGCTCCCATCTCAGCCCCAGCTCAGGCGCTGGGCAAACCAGGAAAAGCTGCACGGGCAGGGAGATCGCATTTGCTCTGTGGAAGCACAAGTGTGGGGAGTTTGAGAGCTAAACATGTGGCATCCCGGGTGGAGGCGCTCAGTGGGGGCTGGGTGTAGCTCTTTGCCTGGCAGAACAGAGCCAGGCCAGGGGCAGCCGGGTCCAGGAGCCCCTCCGCCTTCCTGGGTATGGTGTGGTGGCTTCCAGGGCGGGGAGAGGCTGGGAGACGGCAGAAGCCTCGTCTGTCTTCTCTGAGCAGGAAGAGGCCCCAGGGCTGGGAGCCCATCGTCGGGAGTCCGGGGGAGGCCCCTAAGCCCTGCCCAGCCCTCTCCTCCCCTTGGCCGGTGTGGCACTGCTCTGCTCCCTGGCCCCCAGACTCCAGTTCACGCACTGTGTGTTGCAGGGGCTCGTGGCCTGCGCAGGCACCACCCTAGTAGCCACATTCCCTGTGGTGGCCGAGGGCACGCTGGCCAGGCCCGTGGTGGCCAACGCTGTGCACACCGGCCCCCGCCCAGGGCAGGGGCTTTGTGGTAGTGACCTCTGTTTGGGGACAGGCCTGTCGCAGCGCTCCAAGCCTGCCCTCTCCCACCCTGCTGGGCTGGAAACCTATCCTTGCTCCAGCCTCGTGGATTTTTCCAGCCTTGGGTTGAGGCCTCAGAGCTCTAGGCGGGGCTGCCTTGCTAACAACTCTGTGACTCTGTGTGTGCAAGCATGTGCTGTGTGTGTGTGTGCGTGCGTGCGCGTGTGTGTTACTCTCTGCACTGAGCTCAATCCCAAGGCTCCTCCTTGACCCAGGGTAGTTTCAGCAGAGGAAACTGAGGCTTGAGGGCCTCAGCCACATGTCTCGTGGTATCTGCAGCCAGCTGGCCTGAGAGCTCCCGTTCCCCGGGCACCGTGGGCGTGCGGCTCCAGCCCCAGGCTTCTTGGAGGCCTGGGCCCCCAGCTCAAACCAAGGCCCCAAGGTCCCCGCCAGCCCCCTTGGAGCCCTCCGTCCTCCCTGACGACACTGCCTCCTGCCCTCCTTTCTTCCGCTCAACTTCGCCCTCTCTCTCCCGGCCTCCCTTCCCTCCTCTCCTGGCAAGCGGCTTGCAATCCCAACTTGTTGTTAACGTCTCCCCTGCAGTTGTCCGAGAGCCTGTCCAAGTTAAATATTACTCATGGAGATGCGAGCCTGCGGGCAGCACTGCCCCTGAAGGTGGTGGACGGCTCTCTGGACGGTGCCAGGGCCAGATGCCAGGCCCATGACCCCGAGGATCCTCCTGGCAACATCTGCAGCAGCTGGTGGGTGGGGGCAGCTGGCACCCTGAGCCCAAACCCAGGTCCCCGGCTTCCTTAGCCCCCTGCTCCAACAGAGTGGGTGGGGCAAGGGGGGCAGCCAGAGCCCCGGAGGGGCTGGGCTGGGCCCGGCAAGAGCCGCCCCTCACTGGTCTCTCCAGCCTGTGCCAGGCCGGGGGCAGGGCTAGGAACAAAGGGTCCAGAAACACAGCTTCATCTGTTCTACACCGATTCCTCTTGCCTGTTCAATTGTCCAGTAGGGAAGTGGAGGCCTGGGGTGCTCTTGGCTCAAGGGTTCAGGGAGGGCCGGGAGTTTAGCTCAGTCGTTCCGGCGCCTGCCTCATAAGCGCGAGGTCCCGAGTTCGATCCCCGATAACAACAACAACAAAAAGAGTTCAGGGAGACTTGAGGGGCCAGCCTGTCTGCTAGGGCTTGGCTCTGGGGGTCTCCCAGGCTCAGGGCAGTGGCCATGCTCGCCGCAATGGAGGACAGCTAAGGTTAACATCTGCCCACTCCCCCACTTCCTCTCCTATTACCCTGCCCCCTACTTCTCTGCCCAGTGTTGCCTCAGGGCCTTTGCACCTGTGTGTCCCCAGCTGGAAGCCTCACCTCTCACCCTTAGCTTCCCTCAGATCTTGGCAGGGTGCTGCCTACCCAACTCCTCCTCCTAAGTGCATGGATCCCCATCTATAGAACAAACAGACATCATGGTCTCCCGTGAAACTCACTCTTTAGCATGGGAATGCCTTTCTGCTGGCCCTGGGCTTGCTGGGGACAGGCTGTCTGTGGACTTTGTGAAGAGGTCAATTCCGTGTTCTCGCCTGGTCGGGGTCTCACCACAGGCACCCACTTCCTGTCAGAACCACAACCCCAGGTGCACCTGGCACTCTGCCTGGCAGGACAGGACTAGTGACCAGGCCGTGGCCCAGCGCTTCCCGGGAGAGCTTTGGGGTACCCAGAGTCAGGAGGGCAGTGGCGTCCAGGCCCAAAACCCTGAGGTGAAGGACCAAGCCGAGGTGCCGCAGGTGGTGTGCTGTGGTGTGGCCGGCCCTGGGCCTGGGCCTGGGCGTGTGCTCTCCCCCATGCCGTGGTCCGGGAGCTGTCCGGGTAGGGTCCCCGCTAGGTGAGCTGTGTCCTCTGCCTCCAGTACCCCCAAGAGAGCACCCCCGGCCCCTGGACACTCACCAGGCCTCCATCCCTCTGTCCCTCGTCCTTGGGCCAGGCTCCTAAGGCCGGGGCTGCCTGGAGAGGCCCCATGGCCAGCGGGGTGTGCATACCTGGTTAGCACCTGTCTGTGCAGGGTTCTGCAGACCGCCACCCACCCGCCCACCTCATGCCCAGGCCTGCGGCTGCGCCTGCCAGTATCAGACAGGCGAGTTGGGACTTTGTACCTGAAATCCAGCGGAGAGCAGGAATGCGGCTCAGAAACCACCCTCTTTCCGTGCTGCTCTGGGAGCAGCCTACTGCATGCTCACCAGGGACCTTCTCACCTGGGTGTGCGCAGCACGAGGGTGGCCCCGCACCAGGGGCTCCAGCCCCAGAGGGTCCTGAAGCTCTGCCTGCCCCTCCTCTCTAAACCCCAGCACCCTCTTTTGGGGCTGAGGCCAGCTGGGTGGGCCCTGTAGGGCCAGCACCGGGGAGGCCAGGTGGCAGGTCAGGAAGCCCGGGGCTCAGCGGGATTCCTTCTGGCCACAGCGGACGCAGAGCCTTCGGGCCACACTTGTCCACCCTACCAAGCCTTCTCCATTGTGTCTGAGTCCTCACCAAAACATGGGGCCCCAAGGAGCACCCATCCCACCCTCCCACCTGGCTAGTTACAGGTGTCTCCTCCTCGGTTTGGCTGAGAGTTGCTTCAGGCTGGCACGCTAGTGACCACTGGGTAAATGGCTGTAGACACAGACTGGCATCTGGAGGTGACCTGGACCCCAGTGCCTGACTGGAACCCAAGGGACTGCAGAGTGGCTGTGGCAGCTGGGCCTGGTGGCCAGGGCAACTGATGGCCTCCCTGGATGCCCACGACACCTTGGCAGGCCCCCGGCCAGCAGCCTGTGGCTGTCCCTGGCTCTGACTGCATCCGCAGGCTCCTGGCCCTTGCCATGGTAGCTGCCCCTCATGGGGACGAGTTTCTGATTCAGGGCCAATGCTGCCCTTTCCCCCAGCTGCCAGGCCTTCGGCAGCCAGCAGGGCAGCCGTTGCTGGGTGG